CTTTCGTATTTGAAATGCACATTCCAAACCCCATCATGTTTTTATCTGTTGCTTCCACCTGACTTTTGTTTCTTTTAAAATCTGCATCTGTCATATAAAGACAGTAAATTGATGCATCCTGATGGATCACGATGCTACAGTAACTGCACTTAGTAACATGCGATGCTGCACTGTGTTGCATTGCAGGATTCTTCACATTTCTCTAACAGGCATATAAGATGTCCTAAAAATATATAAATCCCACCAGCAAGATACAGCGATAGGTTTTTGCCCCCTCTTTATGACCATGTTTTTACAAAAACTGTATGTACTTCTAGAGAACCTGTGTGAAGTCTTGCATCACAATGTATATGCAGGTACTAAAATGTCACTCTGCAGCTGTAAAATGCAATTGATACCTGTAAATAACATGGACAACTAGTAAAGCTGAGGTTTCTAAACACAGGTAAAAAGTTGTTAGAGCATGAGCTAAAATACCTTGAAGTAGCACTGTTGTTAGACTGATTCAAAAAGTCTGGTGACTGTGACTCTCTCCTTCTAATCTTGGAGGAATTTTACATTTACATTTTTATTTGGACACTGGAGATCACATTTGAACTGAAGTGAAATGCTATAATCATCCTGGTGAGAGCTTGCTCTGTTTGGATAGTTAGCCCTGGCACTCCTTTAAAGTAACAGCCCCATGTCTTTGTCCTCGAGTTGCTAGATCTTAAAACTGTGCAGAGGTAACTCTTGTAGAACAATTACTAATAAGCAATTTCCTGTGTATGTGTTTCCTGTCATAGTCACGTGAATTAGAAATCTCAGTTTATTGGCGTGACTGGAGATCTCTGTGTGCAGTGAAGTTTCTGAGGCTGGAAGATTTCCTGGATAACCAACGGCATGGCATGTGTCTTTATCTGGAACCCCAGGGCACTCTGTTTGCAGAGGTAAGAAGGTTTCTTTGAAACACTTAAATATTATATTGCTTAATAGGTTAAGAATATTTCTTCTGATTTTCTAAGAATGCATTTTGTTCTGAAACTTGAATTGTAACACGCATTATTTGCACTGCAGGTTACGTTTTTTAATCCAGTTATTGAAAGAAGACCAAAACTCCAGAGGCAGAAGAAAATTTTTTCAAAACAGCAAGGTGATTTTTTAATATAAACATGTAAACCTTAAAAATTGTTACATATCTGTGCTACTTTTTATACAGAGACTTAATATTTGTCTGTCAATAAAACTTGATAATTAAGGATTTGGCACTGCATTTAGAAATGTTTTCTTTTAGAATTTCTTATTATGCATTAACATTTAATAGTGAATAATTAGGAAATGCTGAAGAATGTGAGAAATTGTTTCTTCTTCATAAAATATAAACTGATTAATATTAATGTTATTTTAATCATAGCTTTTGGTAGCATGTAAGGAAATTACTTACACTCTATTTTCTTTTTTTCACAATATCCACAGGCAAAACATTTCTTAGAGCTCCTCAAATGAATATTAATATTGCCACTTGGGGAAGGCTGGTAAGAAGAGCTATTCCTACAGTAAATCACTCTGGCACCTTCAGCCCCCAGGCACAAGTGCCTGCTACTGGGCCAGTGGTTGATGTACACATTCCTGAACTAACACTGCCAGACAGGTAGGTGATATCTACAGTTTTTAAGTACTTCTAAGAGCAAGAGTAACAGTGAGAGGCTTATGCCCTGATGTATGTCAAATCTGTTTATTCTGCAAGACTGCAGGCTTTTCAGTGTTTGAATTTGGAAATCCATTTTACAGACAGATCTACACACAGAGAAAATAAAATGTGTAGATTTAGATTTAGGAGAAATCTGCATAACAAGCAGTTTTAAGTTGGGTTTCATCCTATTAAAACAGTCTCTCCTATACACTAAGGAGTTACTTGTTTTCTTGGCAGTGACTCTCCTGTAGCCAAATTGGACTTTGAACTTGAGCCTGAGCCTCCACCTGCTCCACCCCGTGCATCTTCCCTTGGGGAAATATCTGAATCTTCCTCTGAGATAAAGGCTCCTGATGTGCCATCTCAGGCAAGTGACTTTAAGAATTTTTAGCTATACAGTTCACCAAAGTCGTAATATTGGCATCTTTATGAAATATTTCATCCATTATATTTCAGCATATGCCCCTTAACTTACACATACGGAACTGTCTGAACAGAATGCTCCAATTATTCTTGGTGGCAAGCAGCTCTCTATGTCATTGGTTCCACCACAGAAAAAAATCCAAAATATCAAAATCATTTGAGTATTCAGGAAAAAATGGGTCTACTAACAAAGAGCAGAATGGCTGGAGCAGTAGGTTTCATCAGTCTGTTAAAAGCTTGCTTATCTGTATCATCTTTAAGTGTACCGTGTTAGCTTAGATCATTCTTGTGTTTAGAATTTCACATGCTTACAGTAAAATTTCTGCATTCATTTGCCTTCACAATCAGTCTTACATTTTCAGACTTCTGTTTCTTCACAGGATGAAGTAGCAAATTTTGATTTTGAAAATGGCAGAAATAGTATTGTCCCAAAACTCCAGCCCGAAATAATCCGTGAGCCTGATGTTCCCCATTCAGACATAAAATACACCAACGCCCGAGAACCTGAAGATAGAAGGTAAAAATGCAGTGGTTTTGCTGTTGGTCTGAATAATACCTCTTAAGGTAACAAACTAGAAGATTCTTGACCTTTTTTTTTTTTTTATATATATATACATACATAGATCACAACAAAGATTTCAATTCAGTCTGAAGGATTTCAGATGTTGTGCTGTACTGGGCAGAGGACATTTTGGAAAGGTAAACAACCAAAACCTAAATGACATGTCAAGACTATATCTAAAACTAGGTACAACTCTTAAATTAACCAATCACTTATCTTCTGTTTTAGGTGCTACTGGCAGAGTACAAAAACACAAATGAGATGTTTGCTATTAAAGCCTTAAAGAAAGGAGATATTGTTGCTCGTGATGAAGTAGACAGGTCAGTTTGTAAAATACAATACTTGGATTCCATAAATCATTTTTGTTTTTCTGCATGCAACACAACTATAAGGTCTGCCAAACAGTAGTGAAATACAGTAAAACAGCAAAACAAGGTCTCATCTCCCTGATTAGTTGGCTGCTGGAGATGTGCAGTCTTTCTTCTGGAGCAAGGAGAGAGCAGTGCAGCCTGGGAATATGGGTTCCTTTCGTGCTTCTCTTACCATGCCTGTACTACAGCACTGACTTTAAGCTGATTCTGCTTTTTATTTAGGTTCTCTTGCAGTTATTTATTCTCATTACTTGTTATATATAGACTTGGATCACATTTCAAGAGGACAATGACTTTTTTCTTTACTGGCAAAAACACCTATGATGGTTTCTCAAACTGTAACAACACACTGTCATATTTTTCCATATTTTCCCTTGAGTCCTATGTATACTCCACTAGTGTGGGGGTTTTAATCTTTTTGCCCCAGAACTCAGATACTTTACTTAGAACTGAAGTGGCCATTACAGAACTGTCCAGTTCTAGTCCAGGAAGTTGCTTTTACAATCCTTTAATTGTGACTGTATTAGTTTGACTTGCAGAAAGAAAGATAATTATTAAGAATATGCTACAAATAACCAGTTGGCTTAGAGAGAAATAATCTGAACTTACTGTGGGGAGATGTCTATAATGTTACTGTTTTCCCACTGTATGTATTGTATACAATTAAAACAAAAACAGATTGAAGCTAATGTGACATGATACCAATGCATACATAATGCAAGTCTGAGTGTTTGGAAGGAAAATTGGCAGAGCATAAATTTCATGGACTGCTAGGCTGCTTTTTTCATTTGTGAAAGTTAAATGCAACTTCATGGACATCGTGACATCAGCTTGTGTGTAAATATTAAAAGCTCTCTCTTGAAACAAAAAATACTTGTCTTATCCTGAGGAACGTAAGGTAAAAACTATCAGTAGCTTCTGAGAGTTGAAAAATTGTAGTTGAGGATTCAGCTTAAAATTTTTACTGATTTTCTGTTTGCAGCTTGATGTGTGAAAAGCGAATATTTGAAACTGTGAATAGTGTAAGACATCCCTTCTTGGTGAACCTTTTTGCTTGTTTCCAAACCAAAGATCACGTTTGCTTTGTAATGGAATATGCTGCTGGTGGGGATCTGATGATGCACATTCATACTGATGTCTTCTCTGAACCACGAGCAGTGTGAGTATCCATCCCTTTTTGTGGCATTAAGTGAAGGGCATTTTGTTCAGTGGATAAGAACTAGATCTTTATCAGCACATGCCTCTACATTGTCTTTTCAGTAAATAGTGTCAATATTTTTTAAAAGGGTGAGAGATTGTAATATTTTTTCTTTTTAAAAAGACATGTGCAGGTTTAATATGCCTGAATTCACACTGAACTAAAAACTTATACAGATACTTAATATTTATAAAACTTAAAAAATATTACATTATAAAAGCTAAATGGAAAGTTAAATTTGCAGCCAAGCTAAAAAAGGAAAGAATGTGCCAAATTAAAAATCCTTCAGTGCTGTGGCAGTGGACAATACAGAAAATGTAACCTTGGCCTAAGCAAACATACTACAGCTTAAAAGCTGCAAGTTTAAGCATTTTTGCTGAAAAGCCAATCAGGAGTCTTCAAAGAATGGTTAATAAAACAGATCTATAATAATGGACTTCACATTCTGAAAAGCAAGACTAAAATGCATTGAGATTTTCATTTTTTCCCTCAGGTTCTATGCTGCATGTGTGGTTCTTGGACTTCAGTACTTACATGAACACAAAATAGTGTATAGGTAAGTAGTCACTGACCTGTTCCCAACAGATTAATTTCAGCTATTCTGAATAGTATTGAAGAAACATCAGTGATACAATATTGTTCTTAAATGTTCATTTAGAGATTTGAAGTTGGATAACTTATTGCTGGACACAGAAGGCTTTGTGAAAATTGCTGACTTTGGTCTTTGCAAAGAAGGTAATGGCCGTTCAGTTTTCCTTCTAGTCTGTTTGTCTTACTCTTGAGACTTTTGGACTGCCAAATATGTATAGTGTTACTTACCTTGCATCACTTGAAGGAAAAAATACATCTCTGTACAAATGTGGAGATAGGTGGGAGTTCCTTAGTAGGGAAATATTGGAAGCATCTGATTGTAGCCCTAATTTTTAAATCTAATTTTTTTTTTTTTAGCTGAAAGCATCACCTCTTCTGATTCTTACTTCATTACATCTCTGCTTATTAATAAGGCACACTGCTGTATTTTACAAGTTAGGAGAAATAGCATATTTCGTTTTAGACAGCCTAAGAGTGAATTAAGTAAATTCAGTAGGGGTTCAAACATTACTGCTGTCTGTAGTATCTTAGGGCAAGTCCTGTGACCTTAGCTACAAACAAGTTCCACAAATGACTACAGGAAAGGAGGGCAAGGAGTTTTTTGATTTACTGATCACTACAATAAATGCTGTTGTTAAGCTCTGCACAGCACCTCCAGTTGTAGTGCCCCAGCAGGCCTTGTGCTGCTTGTGTCCCAGGCTGTGCTTCACGCTCTTGCAAATATACAGGGCTTTGTCTGGTCAGAGTTGTTTCACTACATTCCATGTTTGACATCACTGTATGTAGTTTTGCCACTACAGAGGCATCCTGAATAGGCATGCTTGACTAAACCACACTTGCTCCTACTAGCTGGTATAAACGTAGCATAAGGTTGTTTGTATCTTTCCCAGCAAAGAAAACTGCATGATGAAGTTTTAAGTGGAAGCTTAATTTGGCTTATTGCATATAGTTGGGAGTAGAAAAACTTACACTGAAGTGCATGTGGAACAAGGGCATGGGGGGGAAGAATGGGGGGAAAATTTTACTTCAGGAGTTTTATCTGAGTTTTATCAGCCGAAGATGCTCTGGAAGGAGGTTTTAGTTGCTCAAGGAATAGGCTGCAGAGTGGCAGAAAATACTGCTTGCTTCTTATTAACTTTCAGGAATGGGATTTGGAGACAGAACAAGCACATTCTGTGGCACACCAGAATTTCTTGCTCCAGAGGTGCTGACAGAAACTTCCTATACCAGAGCTGTAGACTGGTGGGGTCTTGGTGTACTTATCTATGAGATGCTAGTGGGTGAGGTAAGTTCTAGTAAGATACATGATGAAAAGGTTACAAAAATCAAGATAGCAGCCTGTCACTGTTGAATATGCTCTGTCACAGTCATGTCATGGATAAGCACTCCTCGTTCACAGTGAGCAAGCCTAATGTGTTTCAGGAAAAAGAACTATTAAATACTGAGCAGCTACTTACCTTACCCTAGCTGCTGTAATGCTATAGAAGTTGGTAAGTCATGTTGTGACCTTGAATTATCAGCAATTGTGGAAGTGAGTAAGTTGTAGCTGGTCCAAGACTTAAGGTCTATATTTTTGTTGGGGTTGTTTAGATATCATTATGCCTTAAATCAAATTACAGTCATGGCACATTAATATCAGTGTCTCTAAGCAAGAACACATCACAACTGCATTTGGGGGGCTCAGTTTCCAGCACACAACTGTTATTGCCAAATTTGGATACATACAGCTAGAGCAGCGATCTACTTTCAAATGCTTTAGGAGAGAAAATTAACTACTCCTGTATTTGAAGGGAAGTGAATTGTAATGCTTAAAATTGGATAGTAGTGAAAAATGATGCCAAACACATGTGCTACTTGCCATTTGATTTACACATGCACTAAAATAGAATGCCCTAGTTCCATTTAAATGAGCTGGTATAAATAAATTACTATTGAATAGTTATATACCACTGTGTATATTGGTTTACCTTGGGTCCATTTAGTTATAGTATCTTCCAGGTAAAGAGCAATGGCTAAAAAAAAGAGCAATGCTAAAAAAAAAAGACTGAAAAATTATAGATTTGTTAATCATTTTCATAAAAAATGATCAGTCAACTTTCTTTTACTTCCTTTGAGATTAAGAAAGGAGAAGCAGCTTTTAGGGTCTTGCCCCATCAGGCCATTTCAAAAAGGTTGGAAAACCCTTGAACTGTAACATGCTAAAGGTACTACAAAAACAAGTTTGTTTTGACCATGTTACCTGTGAATGGCAGCTGTCCCAAAGGAGAACTGATACGTATTTTTTACATTCCCTGTATATTTTGTGTCAAAGATTATCTCCAGTTTAGGTGTTCCTAGTTCTAAAAGCATGTTTTTAAAGCATGGTCCTTCAGTAAAAATAAAGGGATAATACCAATGCATACCTTACTTTTCTCTCTTCCACATGAAAAACTACAGTATCTGTTTCTGGAAAAAGGAAGACTTCATTTCAGGGCCTCTAATTCCAAAGTGTTGACTGAATAGATGTTGGTTTTGATTGTAACAAATTTTTAAGCCTGTTTAATAGTATTTTTAATTACTTTCACTATAGTCTCCCTTCCCTGGGGATGATGAAGAGGAGGTGTTTGACAGTATTGTAAATGATGAAGTAAGATATCCACGGTTTCTGTCTACAGAAGCCATCTCTATAATGAGACGGGTAAGCACATAATATTACAATACTCTCCTCTTACCCTGTTTCCTCTCCAACATTAAGGAAACTAATTACTTCAGTGAGAAACAAAATCCTTTAAGAACCTATGCTTGTTGGGGTTTTTTTTTCTACCATCGAATTTCAGACTTGTTTAATTTATGCCGTGCTGTGCTGCTTATCACCTTAAATGAAAATTGACATGCCCTTCCCTTTTATTCAGGAGCAAGTTCTTATTTTTAAAATGTAGAACACTACAGGCTCTATTTTCTCCCTGAACTAAGTTTCCCAGTCATATCTAACTAGAGAAGTTTGCCCACGTTTCCTAGCAGAACACTGCTGCATTGACCTATTTGGTAGATTAACAGTGTCACATGAATATTTTAATTCAAAGACTTCTAAATCTCTTTGGTTTCATTCCAACTGGGTCAGGGCAAGGAGCACCACACACATGGCACCTGCAGTCCCATTCTTGGCAAAAAACAGCTGATTTTTTCTGTGATTGTTTTTAGTGCTAGTCCTTAGCATAATGCTTCTACTTACCTAAGAAGATACTTGAACCTAAGTTAGAAGCTCATCAGAGTTGATAGAAAGGCATCTGCTGAAGGTGATTCAAAGCCTTTGGAAGCAGCTTCTCTGACGCTGAATGTCAATCTAGCACCCAGTTCAGCAAGAGGACCGAGAATTTTCTGTAGGTCAGGCAGTACAAATTTCACTGTCCATCCAATCTTGGGGTTGGCTCTTAACCAGTAGCACTCAGCCTCCCTAGTTTCCACACCCCTGCCCCCCCCCTCCCCCTTGCCTCTGAACCTTTGGTACTGAAATCTTGCACATTTTGTCAGCTGCTACGACGAAATCCAGAGCGGCGTCTTGGAGCTGGAGAGAAAGATGCTGAGGATGTGAAAAAGCATCACTTCTTCAGGGTGAGTACAAACCAGTATTATTTCTAAGGACACCAGGAGGAGAGAAAGGAAACTAAACACTGTTGGTTTACTTTACAGCTAATAGATTGGAATGCTTTACTGGCCAAGAAAGTGAAGCCTCCGTTTGTACCCACCATTAGAGGACGAGAAGACGTTAGTAATTTTGATGATGAATTTACCTCTGAAGCACCTATCCTCACTCCACCTCGGGAACCAAGGATACTTTCAGAAGAAGAGCAGGAGATGTTCAGAGATTTTGATTACATTGCTGATTGGTGTTAACTTTTAGACACTGTGAAACCCCAGCTGACTGGCTCACAAGAATGCCTCTCTCAGAAGAATACCCACCCTTCAGTTGCTCTCTGTGCCACCTGTAGCTTCTTGGGTTGTTTTTTTTTAAATCACATGAAGATCCATTTAAGTACTGTTTTACCACTCTTATGAAGAGTGGTTTCTTTGTACATTGTTTTTTATCTGAGCACTGGAAAGCAAGTCTATGGAGTTCTTAAGCTGAGTTGGTGAACCCAGGCTGTATTAAGCTTCCCACACAAGGGCACGTGTGGATCTGTACTGTTTCTCTCACTCCTCCACAGCAGATAACATCACTTTTTAAAGTATCTGCCTTAAGTGGGAAAAGCAGACTTTGAGTTAGGTAATCACTTCTCTCTACTCAGCCACATTGAAGTAGAAGTTTGGGATGCTGATGACACTTGCACAGAACATGGTTCTAGCTGGAGAAGGCAAATTATTTCAGTTAACTATTATCTTGTGCAGTCTATAAAACTACACATTTCTATGTACACCATCTTTTGTTCTCCACATAATGGTATTAACAACAGATATGCCTTGTTTTGTAAATTTTCTATGGTATTTATTAGGAAAAATGTCAAATGCCTTGCCTTTGAGATAACAACAGTGAAAGTGCTTCCATTGCAAAGAAAAATCCAGAACAATCCAGAAAGTTTACCAAAGCCACTTGCCAAACAGTTTTGCCTTCAAGCTTTTTAAGCATGGCTTAAAACCCTGGTTGATATGAAGAATGTAACAGGGGTGTTGCTCAGTCTAGCCACAAAGAGCAAAGCACATGCATTTCCCAAGCCCATCCACTTCTATACTCAGACTCATGCCTTTCCCACTCACTGAGTGGACAGATAAGTTAACCAGTCTGTATCTAACCACCTAGATCATCCTGTATCTGCTGTACAATATCATATCACTTTTAGAAAACATAAGGATTTTCAATGTATACATGCTGTGAACATGTATATTTGGAAGTTGTAATGTATTCTTATGTCCAGGCAGTAATTTAAATTATACCACTTCATTAATTTTGCACAGTGGCCAAGTGAACAGCATAGAAATGCGTGAAAAACAGATTTGCATGCATATAGGCCACTGAACTCCAGAACTTAAGATTGGCAGTTACTGAGGGTAAAAGCAATATATTGTAACAGAATGTATACATATTTTTGATAAAATGTGTGTATTTTTTAACCCCTTAACACTAAAAGCTGTACCTCAAAAGTTGAAAAATAATTTAGACCAGACACTGTGTATTCTTGTAAACCAAGACCTACTTTTGGCATCCAATGTTCTGTGGGCAAACATTACTTCTTGGAAAATAATTTCCCACATGGTCCTCATCTGTAGCACCATTCAGAGCTGACTGCGCGTGCAACACCACAGGTTCGTCCCAGCCAGGAGTTTGCTGTTCATGGGCTATGACAGTGAGAATCAGCAAATTCAAAACTTGTACATTCAGAGAAGAAACATTCATTCAGAGAAGAAACACAAACCACTCGAGTGTGCGACACTGTGATGGTTGTTGAAAACCATGATGCTGGACAGACCTGCAGGGTCAGGCCAGGAAGAAACTTAGGAAGCAGAAAAAATGTTTCATAGGTCTGAATCGGGTTTTCCTTCCAGGAACAAGGCAAGTATCTCTACAAATCGTGTTTGGCAGAGTGAGTCACCTTTTCCTCATTACTTCTTTCCAGATTCTTATTAATAAGAAACAAATGATGTTCCTGTATCTAGCTGAAACCTACACTTTTGAGGTACAGTCAGCTCACCTTTGTTGGTTCCCAAATATATATACATAAGCATCTAACAGGGTGCTTAATACTTATGAAAGTATCCTCCAAAATACCTTTTTGTAACTACATCTTGTACAGAAATCTTTTTTTAATCTAAGTAAATCACTAAAAAAAAACAATTAAAAAAATTAGAGGGCAGGGTATGTTCACCCAGTTAAGCTGAAAGAAAGCACTAATTTTATCTCTGTAGTTTTTTAAATATTTTTAGGCAGATTAAGATTTTAAACCCTAGATTGTAAATATATTTTGCTATACTTTATCTGTATGTGGCTGCTCAAGCACTTTGTAAGGAAATTAGGTTATTTTAGAATGGTACACTATGCATTAAAATGAAATGTGCCTTTAACAAATGTCATTCTAAGTGTTTTGCAGTCATTAATATCACAAATTAAAGTTTTAAATAGAGTAATTTGTAAATTGTGTCCCAAACATGATTCTGCTGTTTCTTGAAGTTACTTGTCATGTTTTCTCCATAGGCAACTTCAGAAAAGAACTTGCCATCAGAAGGGGACTTTCAGAAACACAATCTCTCACTAGTAGCTCAGTGTACTCACATTCATTTTTTTAAAAATCAAAATAAGAAATTAATTACCTCTGAGCATACCTGCTTTCAAGCTGAAGGAAAAGCAGCCTTCTCTTGGCTTGGGCAAGCAGCCCTTCTGAAGGGAGCAGAACGTGTCTATGTCCATCGCAGTCTGGCCAGTCCTGGGCAGCATCTCCCCTCGCAGGCTTCCTTTGAGGGCAGGGGGACATGACACTTCCCCCCTCCCGGGTACTTCATTATAGTTTCTCCTCGGCCCCTACCCCCCCTTATATAGGAAAGTTTCTGTAAAGAAACAAAAACTTAAACCCAACTCACAACGAGCTTGTTCTGTAAGCACAGAGTGAAGCCTTGCCTGAGTGTGTTTACAAATCTTTCCTTTTAAGAACAAACTAAAATGTCACACGAGACCATCGCTTAGATACACAACTTCAATACTTAACCTAAACAATCACTTCAGAGAGGACTGGCTCCAAATGTGTGGAGAACACAATCCTAGACGCTCCTGTTTTCTCACTGCT